TAGGAAATAACCACTGAAAGCAAGGCTAACAGCATGTAGCACAGACATCAGACAGTGCTGTCAGTCCACAGGCCACAGGTATAAAAGGGCCAGCTTTGCATTAACATAAAATAAAGCAGCAGCAATATATGAATCTGCCATTTATGAGCTGTATATCACTGACTATGCCCAATGTTGCTTACACAACACCAGAAGCATCCAGTGGGCTATGTGTTCAGCTGTATGAAGTTGTGGATACTGACAGAGATTCCATTGGCAGAACATAAGAAAGATTACAAACGAGAGGAGGCAATTCAACTCATTTAGCTCATTTTGAAGTTAGTAGCTAACTGATCTTTGCTATGAAGTGGTGACCAAAATTATACACAGTATTTTAAGTGAGGTTTCACTAGTGCATTATATCATTTTACTGTAACAGCCCACATTGGATGCTTTTTAATTGCCTCCCCACACTGCCTTGCAGACCGTGAAGGAGGACCACAGAGGGACCGAGAAAGACGATCTGAAGAGGTGACTGGTGGGGATTGGGAACTGCCTGCTTCCTGAATTTTTGTTATGAAGCTGAGTGATAATGGAATGTAACTAAATTCCACACTCTGCAGCAGAGGAGTTTCAGAGCTGGACTTACACTCTTCATCACTGAAGCGCAGCCCCACCTGGGAGACACACAGAGGCCATTCTGCACCAGCATCCTCACTGCACAGTTGATCAGGGGTGAAACTCTCCCTCCACACCCCTGATCAGCTGTGCATTGTGTGAATCAAGGCCAGATTGTGTAAGTCCAGAGGGAGGTTTAACCAGAACATCAGGGTTAAATCCCTCTACTCTTAAGAACAGCTACATCTTTAATGACCAAGCCTTTGTCACGGCTGCCACAACTATCTGCACATCCACAAGGAGTGTAAAAGGTTAAGCAGTTCTACCCTGCTTATAGTTACCTGAAACCCAGAGAACCAATTTACAAGACAGCTCTGCTCCTACTGCACCATGCCTGTCCACTTAACCACTTTAATAGTATGTATAGTATGAACCACAACCTAATAATATCTTCTTTAACTATTTTCAATCTTTCATATTGATAGGTACAGCTATCTAATCAGAAAAGAAACTAGAAATAAACACCTTCATTTCCAACAGAACGCACATTTCTTTTCCATCACGTAGTGCAAACACTGCTCCTCAGTATCGGTATATTCAGGATTAAAGATGTCCTTTAGTCCAGCTGGTCAGCTGGAAGGCTGACTCTAAAAGCTTGAAAAACAACATTTTATTTATTCTTTATTTTCTTTATTCATTTTTTCAGTTGTGTCAAAAATCCTTTTTCCCATGTTTGATGGAAGTTTTTCCATAAGTGCTCTGTTGTGTTCTGACCTAATTTTTGCCACTCAGAGGGGATACTGTGGTAGACAGCTATATTGTATATCTAATATTCTTCATCCTGGCTCTTACTGTTCTACTCACCACAGGATAGCTGGTTATTCATTTATTCTTTTCCCTCTTTGAAAGTCACTGGGGAAACTGTGCTCTTGTAAACAAGATGGTCAATTTCAAGAGATTTTCTTGTTTAAAGGGATTTAAAATAAATATGTAATCATGCCTTTGGTTTTCACAAATCCAGGGATTAAGAATCTGACACAAATAATATATAATAATTTATCCTTATTTTTCTGAAACTGTCAAACATTTAATTACCAGTCCTGGTCATCGTGTAAAGTACCTGAACTGTTTTGCAATAAATTTGCTAAGAACAAGTTGTATTTATAATTCAAAGAAATAGGTTGGCATCAATTCTAACCTTAAAAAAAAAGTAAACCATTGATCTTTCCAAACACTGAGGTGGAAGCTGAATATTGCAGTATTAATAAATACTGCAGCTACTTAAATGAAACACGAAACTGGAAGATGATTACTGTGTCTCCAAGAAGCTCAGCAATCCCGGGTTTGTCCCGAGGAAGGAGCGAGCATGTCCCCGAGAGAAAGGACCTGGCCGGTGTTAGTGTTAGGGGACAGGGACCTCGCACAATCATTCACCCCAGAGGAGAAACTACAAGCAAACTGCTCATAGCAAATGGGAATAAATGCCCCTGTTACCCCTTTTCTCTCCCCAACTAGTCTGCCTTATTATGTCTCCAGTCTGAGGAAAAGATAATAACAGATCAGAGCTCAGATGTTACACACTAATTAGTGGTACATCATCTGCATTCGGCAGATCTGGTACATACTTCATTCAGCCACTCTCAATCGGCACGGCATCTCGTTTGTCTAAATTCCATTTCCTTCTTCATTTTCAAGCTCCAGATCAAGGTGCAGGAGCATCCAGTGACAATAGCGACATTTCTCTTTCTTTCTGATGACATCACTCTCTGTTACTTTACGAACATCTCATGTGCGCTGAGAAAAATATCTCTACAAAATGGCCCACTTACTATACATTTTGTCCATCCAGTCTATAAAATACGAACACACTTCACGGATACTGTACATCCTCACCACAGGGAGACAGATGCAGTCTTACATAACATCTTATATAATGCACACCATCCTTTTCGATAAATCTGTTTCTCTTTCACCGTGCGCAGCAGAAGGACAGGGGGCTATGCAGCACCTGATGGACATTACTTCTCAGTCCAGGGGATTGGAAATGACCAAATGCAAAATGGAAAGCTTTTTTCCACGATTACGGCAAAGGAGGAAAAAGTCTGTAAAAATGCTACGCTGTGGTGAAATTAAATTATAGTCATTTGAACCCTATAACCCCCCCCATCACCCTCATATTAGAAAAAAAGACATTAGCAGATTTTATAAAGTCTCTCACCACTGCCCTAGCGACAACTTCCTAATACAGATAAAAAGGACCAGCATTCACTCAAACATATAGCCTACCTCCCTGCAGCAAAACTCTCTCATTCAAAGGCCTTTAGCTGCTCTTTGATGTAACTATAATTAGTCTGTACATTCTACAAAGTTTTTAAAGAAGGAAAAATTGCAAAAAAAAACAGTTCAGTGCCCAAACAGGATACATCATGAAAAATGTTCAAAAATTAATCTTTTGAAGTTCGTAATGTTTATGAACTGAAAAGGTGGCGATAATTAAAGCAGAGATGGTCTGTTTCCTTTGGTGTCCTTCTCCCGTGAAACATTTTGTTTCTGTTCCTGCCTTCTCAACCACCTCAACAAGATCTCCTCCTGTTAGATACATACCGTATTTTAAAATATCAATTCAGTTCACAGGCTAAAACACCACGCTGACACAAATGCGCAAGGATTTGTATAGGGAGGGGACGGGGGGCCTGGTGATGGGTTACAGCTGGCGACGAGGGACACCTTTCTGGCTCCTGGAGCAGCACTGAAAAGACAGCATGAGAAATACAGGCCTGACGAGGCAGAGGCCCGATCACTGCTGCATGACCCAGCACAATTCCCCATTCTGTTCAGTTTACACTGCTTTGTGAAGGGTGTGAAGGAGTGCCAGTGACTTTATTATTGTCCTCGGTGAGACTTCCAGGCCCCTGCGGAGAGTTTAGCACAGGGGCCCTCACTCTCACCGAGAATATCTTGTCCCCTTGACAAAGCTCCTCTATGACATCCTGCTCGCCGCTTATTTCCTGCGAGGGCGGGCAGCCAAAGGCGCGGCTTAGCCTGGGATAATTTCACAGGCCCAGGGCAACCCGACCCCTCAGCCCCCGGGGTCAGAAGTCAAGTTTTGTTTGGAGACGTCTAGGAGCTCTGCAGAGCAGGGAAAACAAAAGTGGAGAAAATCCGCTGGTGTGATTTACAGGAGGCAGGAGGGCATGAATGGTGGAGAGGTCGCCCGCGCTGCCTCCGCCTCACGCCCTTTACCGAGACAAACAGGGAAACCGGAGGGTCTTCTGGGAACACAAAACCCAGCTCAGAGCCTTGCAGGCGTCACGGTACATCTACAGGAATATGACACAGGTTCGATAGACACAAGGCTTGCAGGTCTTTTCCACTTTGAACTCCATGGAGGAGAGTCCAGCCAGTTGCCTTGCCCATTTCAAAACAGTAATAAAGACAGACAACAGGCAGACTGCCGGTCGCAGAGTGTGCTCTGTCTTGCCTGTTGTGTAGCGCGCAGGGGGGTGAGCGCACTGGGGTTTTTCATTGCACAATCTGTCCATAAGCAGAGGGAACTGCACGTGGAGAATGAAAGATTTCAGTCTCGAAGCTGCGACTCGCTCCTTTATTTGAAGACAGTAGCCAAAAGGAAATTAATTACCGTTCACGAGGAGGCTCTTTCAGAAATATCCGGTGGAGCCGTGGTAAAAATGCAATGAGGAACAAAGAGCTCAGCACACCGGACTGCAGCGAAGCACATCGGCAGGGACGAAATGCACAGCAAATATGTCGCATATTCGTTCAGAAATGTGAAAACCTAATAAAGTGTTCCTGGAAAATTCCTGGCATTCTGCGTGTCATTCCGTTCATTAAAAGAAGAAAAGCCAAACACTTTAAATAATCTGGGGCTGTCCAGAGCCTGAGTGTGGACCTCTGCATATCAAAGGCTTTAGAGCAGGCTGCTTCTCCTTCTGTCACTGCTGCCCGTCGGTCCAGCACTGCCTCGCGGTTAATAAGGCACCGATTAAAAAAAAAAACGAATTAAAAAATATCTCTCTAAACTGCAAATCTGATAAAGCAAGGACAAACAATATTGGGAATGGCATTCTTCTGAGGTGGTTGAAAGAAAAACCTTTTTCTATATTGTTTTCTGTGGGCCTCATTCTCTGCATGCTCTGCACCGCAGCTTAATAGAACATTATTTTTGCAGATCCAGAGGATGTAGAAGCTGCCCGAGGACAAGGATGAACTGGATTATTTACAGAAGCAGTATTTTCTCAAAGAAACTAAATGTTATTTATTTTTAATCATTTTCCATATTTCCCACAATATAAAAAAAACACACTCAATACCAGTTATAAGGAGAATAGATTAAAAAAATATACAAAGATATTAAAGTTTTTTTTAAATACAAACAGACCTACCAGCTCGACAAAAGACAGTCCACCGTAACTGTGAGCAACAAAGAAAATCTTCTTGGCAGCAGATTTAGATATGAAGTTGTCCCACACGTAGATGGCATGCTCTTCTGGAGAACTGTTGTCCTGTTGTGAAAAGAAATAAAAACATGTGTCCATAATGTGATCTTAATATCTCTTTCAGATTTCATGTGTGGAGTTTCAAGTATAAATAAAAAATATACAGATATAACCACACCCTGTCTTGTCCTACAAATGTGATCACAAAGCAGCAATGAATCACAAAGCAACGACTTTTAAAGCTTTTTCATTCTGCATGCAAAGAATCCAGAACATTCATAATGTGACTTTTAAATCGTAACCTTTGCCACAGTTCACAGTCACTACATTGGGCATATAGAAGAGTGGAAAGAATACACCATCACAAAGCGTACCAGAATGTCGCAATTGGTAACAGCTGAGAAGCGCGGAATGAGTACATTTTAATTAATGCGGAACAGAGAACGTCGAGCCGTGCTGTCAAAGAAGAAGGGATTCATTACCGACTCAATAACATTGATTCCTGGTTTGATTCTTAATAAATACCCCACATCAGTACAACATGCATCTTTTTATCATTAAGCGGGCTCTGTTTTTTATTAGGCAGGCATCACCCCTAGTGATCCACTGCAATCGTGTGTTTCTGTAACAAGTTCTTCAGACTACCCTTGTGCAGCTGTCGAAGAAACCTCTGAAAGCAGGCTGGTAAAGAGTAGAGTCTATAAATTCTGCTGAAATATGTTGCTTTTAATGGTCCTTCACTAATTGCAATTGCTTGCAGCCTGCTCAATCAGCCCCGAACACAGTTAATAATTGATAAATAACTGTTCAATCAAATGGTGAACACATTCTTAAATTAAACTGTCATCAAAATGGTTGTGTACCCAAAGCTTATTTCCTTTGAACGTCAAGTACAGAGGGCAAATAAATACCCCAAAAAGAGCGTGTTTAAATATATTTTCCGCGTTCCCAGTAGCTAAGTAATTTAAAGCAACAGACAAATGTAATATAGTTCAAGTAGGTACTGTTGCTTTGTCAGCATGTTGCTGTTGCTTGTTTACCTGCAAAGGAACAGGTAAAGATAAAGGCATAGTGTAATATGCACATTACACAACACCAAGCACAAAAGAGGAAGTCATAAACTCAGAGGTATCTGGTATTGGTTTCCTTTTCCTTGTGCGTAATGCGGGATCTGGCACAGATGCTGATGCAGAAGTCTGATATTAATGCCATGGGCATACAGGGGCTGTTGGAGGCGTTTTAACGGCATGGTGTTACAGCATGGCCCCTCCACAAACAACAGCATTAAATTAATCTATCAACTTTGAGAGTGTTTTCTTTGTAAGCAAACTGAAGCAATGCATCCACTCGTAGGATCCATGCCTTTCTGTGTAACCTCGATAACAAAATGCACAATTTAAAGATTTGGGAAAAGGGAATAGAAATAAATTATACTAATAAATTAAAGAGATTTTTACCATCACCGAATCCTGCAACACAGACTAAATAAAATAACATCAAATCTAACAATCTTTTTTTTCTGGTGCAGAACGTTTTCACATACTATACTGGTATTAGTATGAAGAAAGCCCCTGAACTAGACATGGAGCTTTACAATATGGACAGAAATCAATGGAAATCAAATATTTCTTTATTGAGAAGGAATTTAAAATAATAAAATTTAAGATTTTGAGACTTTCTTGTAACTTTACTGACAACTAAGGCCATCAATGGACAAAAACTTTGGGTTCCATCTCTGAACAAACACTCCTACACGTACAGTATATGTATATAGTTATAGTTAGTGAAGTCCTCTTATGTCCAGGTGGACTTAAGTGAGGAGATTGGGCGGAGATCTGTGAAAGGCAGAAAAGAGTACTGAAAACTCAATTTCAGCCTTTAGATATTTGGCAAAAACTACAATATTGCTGGAACAGTTGGAACAGCTTTAGAAAGTTGCAAATCATAACTGTAATTTGAGAAAATGCACCTGAAAAATGTATTTTAGAAAGTAAAAATGTGTACCTAGTTGAACTACCAGCCACAGTTTTGTTCCTTTCATATAGGCAGTGACTAATAGGAACAAATGAGGTAAGGCTTAATATACAGGTCTTGGCTCTTTGCTTGAAATTTGCCATGTCAGAAAATGCCTCATACTTTTATTGGCAGGTAAGGTGTTGAAGCTCAGATCTTTAAAAGTAACCTTTCAAGCCGTGTTTGACTACGAATATAAAAAAGATTGCAGCCAATGAATCCAAAAAAGTGTGCTTGTTAGCAAGTAATTCAGCCTGGCATTAATTCGGTTCTGGCGCCACAGCCCCCAGCTGAAGGAATCCAGGTACCAGCCCTTATCAACTATGCACAGATTCTAACACCTGGGCTTTGCAGGGCCTTTGTATATGATTGACTACCTGAGCTGATAACACACGGAATTATCTAAACAACATTTGCATATTTGTGTAATTATTTCCTTGGGTTAATTAGCTCCTGTGAAGCAGTTCACCCTCTGAGACTGCTTCCAGTGACAGGTTCACATATTTTCTGTACGGATGCCAAATTTGACAGACTCCCTACTGCTAACCTGTTGCCAGTATCTTAAGAAATGACTGTCAGACAGGTTCTGGGCTGCAGTATTTTCATATTGTACCTGTGCATCAATACTACAGACACCACATCACTCTGAAGTCCCTCGGCGTGGGTTCACAGAGCTTGAAGAAAAGTTAAGAGGGGGCTTAAAAAAAGCGATGTTGTCCATATTATAACACGACTTCAGAAATAAAATTGCATTTCACTGCTCTAGACAAAACGACACCCTTTGCAGTTTCTAACTCAAACACAAACTTCCAGCTCTCCGACAGTCAAAGAGCATATTTTATTGACTAATGTATGACTATAATACCTGTAAAACAGAAACGTCTTTTAACTGAAATGTATTCCCTAAAAAGTAATGGCACTGTAGAATTCTTAGAAAAATGACATTTTGCACAGTGAATTAGAAATTAACATTAATAGTACATAATAGTATTCATTTTTTATTTAGCAGTTATTGTGAATGTGTGGGACCAGCACAAACAAGGAAAGTCTCATCTAATGGCCATTATATTTTGCTTCTCTTTTTTTACCAGAGAAATTAACACATCTATTTTTTAAGAATATGTTCGCAAAAGTCTGTAGAGCAACATACTGTTTGATATTCTCCGTAATAGTAACTACCATGTGGCATACTAGAACATCAGATGACTGTCACTTCATCAACGGTATGAAATATGCTTGAGCACAAGAGCTCTGAGTAGTGTCATTAATGGGCATGTAGTAAGCTGTGTATTTGGAAGGTTTTGTTTTAGTGAAAAGCTCCTTGAGATGCCACATCATGAAAGGGGCTATATAAAATATTATAATTTCAATAATAACAATCACTTTGCTACTAAAGAACACTTTGTTCCTGGACTGATAACTGTTACAATCCCAGGCACATTCAAAGCAGAAGGTGGCCTTGCAGCCGGTTTCTGTCACAGGTTGGAGTACAGCAGTCCTTCAGCCTCGGTTATTACACTGGCAGAAAACACGTAACATTCCGCTGTGTTAATGCATGTGTCAAAGAGATTCCTCTTCAAAACACTCAACACTGAATACTCCTTCTAGCAAAACAAAGCCAGCAAAAGCTAATACATTTTTTTCTTTAATTAGTCTGAAAAGAACTGGTATCTGGTATAAACCATCTCTTTTAAGAGGACAAAAATATATTTTGTTTAACAAGGAAGTACAGGAAAAAGTTCAAAATTAAAAGGACATAAATTATTAAAACGTCTCTTCATATTAAATCACTGTTTTCTTCTGGCATAGAGAAATTCCTTTCTTTAAAATACGTTTTTCCATTTTCAATTTTAGGAACATGACACAAAGAAATTCTTGAGCCTATGTTAAAGACCACACTGTAGTAAAGGACTGGGTTTCAGAAACAGACCTCATCTTCCAGTGTTCCTCCAGTCTGTTTCCATGGGCCTAATAAGAAACAGAGATACCAAAAATCCAGTGCGATTACAAGAACAACACTAACGTACAACTGGATACACTTCAAAATACAGGTATACAGGTTCTAACACTTTGCTTACCTTGTAATTATGTGGCATTTACACTTTGAAATACACATATTTACATATATGTCTGCTGTTGTAACTGCATTATTACTTAAGTTTCAAATACAGCACATGCTGTAAAAAAGGACATTTATAGCACAATTACTCGTTAAGTCACAGGATTCACATGCACAATTACAGTGTCTTGCTAAAGTATTTAAATCTTGTACTTCCTGTGGTGTCCCATTTGATGCAATTACAAAATGATACGAAACACATTATTTTAAAACCGATTGATTGTATTCAAAACTTGAATGCTGTATCTGAAGACTTCTGAGGGTAAAATAAGTTTACCCCTAGTTAAATGTCAGGAAATATTACGGAGAAAAAGTGAAATATGATTAACTCAATATTTGGTCTCAACCAACCTTGCACACTAGTGTGGTGCAATTTTTCCCAGTTTTTCTTGGCAGACTTGTTCAAGGTCTCACGGATCGCTTGGGTATCTCTTACGGACAGCAGTTTTTCCATATATTCCCAATAGGATTCAAGTCAGGATTGTGACTGAGCCACTCAATACATTCTATGTAGTCATTATTTATATTTAAAAAATCAGTCAGTATTCAACATCTTTTCTAATTTTATAATTAAAAATATAATTTTTGTGAGCTATTTGTCAAATTAGTTTTTTTTAAACGTAATATTCTAAATTGTAGAGGACTAGGTGAAGGTGTCATATGTTATACCATAAAATCTCAACAGTAAGTACTTCTCACCACACAGGATATGTAAATACACGTGTTTCGAAGTATAAATACCACACACTTACAAGGTAACTGCAATAATACACTTTAAATAACATAAAGGACATCTGAGATCCAGAAGAAAGCTTTCTTCACATGTATCTGCTGGGTGGCTTCACTTAGCAGAAGGCTTAAACATCTCTCACTTTCATGAACCAAAGGTTCGAAGAAGAGATGAAAACTCTACATACGGCACTACGTTTACTGT